CACAAAACAGGAAAATAATGTGAGTTTATGGGATGCTGATATCCAAAGAAATAGGGGATGCAGCACACATCACTATCTGGTAACTACGCAGGATCTGCCATGATGTCTACACTGCATACAAGCAGTTACAGGAACTGCTGGAGGAAATAACCACTAGCTTACAGCTTCAAAAAGGAACTTGCATAGTTTAACAGGACAGTCTTGCCCTTTCACTGAATACATCCAAGCATATATGGTTGTCACCGAGTAGTGTCCGTCTCATCCCTGACAACCTGATGGTAGACAATGGAGTGTTTCTCATTCATTCGAGGAATTGTCCACATGTTCAACTCTGTTAACTTGCTAACTTCCCAGTGAGATATGATGCTCAAGGAAGATCACAAGTACTACACGTTATTAGAGTGAATCACTTAAGGTGGGCAAAGAACATATCCTGCAAGAACAGAAGCCTCAAAAAACTGCTATCCTTTCTCCATCTCTCTCCTTTCTGTCCCCTTTGTCTCCTCTTCTTCTTCCCATACTCACGCACAAAGACAGAAAATGCACTGTGGCAGCTGTACCTGCTCACCAAATACACATTAGTACCACTATTTAATAGGAAAGTAATTTTCCAGCCACCACCCCTCTCTCACCACCCCCAGAATGGTTATCCAGTATATATTATACTCCAGTGGGTGCCGCACTGGTCAGACACCTACCATTATATGCAGCCATCCCAATTTATTACTGGTTCATGAAGGAGGATCACCTCTTAAATGACCGTTCAGAGAAATGAAGTCATGCTAGTATTCTTACAGAGACTGTCTCCAGCTTCTATCATAATCATCCTGTTTCTTCTACCATCTTCTTTCCCAGTGCAGTCATTTCCCTTTATTTAAGGGTTCTATTCCAGGACTTGTGAGACTCAGGAGGAGAAACTGAGGCAATCTAGGATGTAAGAAATGACATACTTTGTATCAACAAAGCTTGTGATACTAAAATCTTTCAAGGGAATACCTGCTTCTCTCAGCAATTTCCAACAACAGATTTGAAAAGGGCTCTTTGCAGGGGAACAACTTCTACCACAAGTCACTCAGTGCTACCAAAATGTTAGTATTAACTTTTTCTTTAACATACACTTGTAGTCGACTTAGATTAGTACTTTCTTAACTAGAGGCCATTTGGCTTTCTATTCTGTCCTTATTCTCCTTTACCCCCTTTTCAGGAGTTTTAGAGGATTTCAAGTCTTTTATATTATTTTAATTCTCCTTTTTCCCTCATTTACCATGTTTCCCTGAACTTTAATTTTGCTGAAACAAATTCTCTTCTTGAATATGCCCCAAGTTTCACTGAGGGATTGCTGCCACAACAGAAAGGCGTATTCTTTTCCAAGTCAAAAAGAAAGACAGTTCGGACAGAAAGTCAATGTGGTGACCTCAAATTTGTATAAGACATAATGTTAGATAAACTTGCATGAAGCTGATCTACAGCACTCAGAGTTTAAACAGTCTGTAGTTTAATTAAATGAAAATCTGATGGTTTCCATGAAGGATAAGCGTGGGTCTGGCAGTGTGGATTCAATGCAGATGCTGATATGCATGATATGCATAAAAGTCGCTGGGTAGGCCGAAATGCTTTGACCAAGCGGGCATCTGATTAGTCTTAGTCTCCTTAAGGTAAATTTAACTCAACCTTGTCCTAAAGTACGGATAAAAATCAAAATGAGTAGCCACTCCCTTGGTATGAAATACTGAAGCAGTAAAACTTTCAAGAGCTTCTTTGAAGCTGTGGGTTTTGATTGTTTGAACTCTTATATGACTTAGTGGAGATAGCCTGCATTACAGAAGAAATTCTTGATACTGTATTTCTTTTATTACAGCATAACAGATCACATAACTGTTCTAGGGTTTCCAAATGTAAGCAAGTGGCTACTCACAGGATTAAATGGATGTAAGGGACATGTACATTCACAACCATTCACCGTCTCTATTTCCAGTGGCCTGGATAGTCTGTTACTAACAAAGGTTTTGCATTCAATCCTATAAAATTTTGGCAAGTACGTATTACCATGTTATCCATAGCATTTAAGGTTTTGATGTATTATTCTTCCTTTACAATTATTATTTTTATTTCACTTCTATTTCCTTAAAAACCTCAACAAAGACACAAATAATTTTGCAACCCCTCCTGCACACCCACTCTTGCTGTTTTGATAGCCCTTTTGAATTTTATGAAGCATTTAAATGTTTTTAAAATGATCCATCCTTTTCTGGACTCTAATAATGACATACCCAGATGTGTTGAAATCATATTAAATAGTTGTTTATTTTATCTGACCTTGCAAAATCATTATTTTCTGACCATATTAATACAGGAGTAACTAGTGAAGTAATTTTACTTCTCTATACGTGACTAGTAAAATACAGGCTAATGTCTCTTTTTTAATAGAAAAATTAGAGAAGGAATAGAAAAAAGACAGAAAAATCAGCTGAAAATGTGAAAAAATAATGAGAACCATAAAAAGCTCAATCTGTTTAGCTTTAAAAAAAAAAAAAAAAAAAAATGATTACAGGGTAAAAGCACCTTCCTGGGGAGAAAACAGTGAGAACTAAAGAGCTCTTTAATCCATCAGAGAGAGGTGTAACAAGAATCAATGACTGGAAGCTGAAGGCAAACAAATGCAAATGGAAATAAGGTTGAAAATTTTTAGCAGCAGGCATGATTACTACTTGTATTATCCTAGTACCTGGAAGCCAAGTCATGGATCAGGGCTCCTTCACACTAGATGCTGGTAAAAAAAAAAACAACAACAAACCAACCCCCCAAAATCCCCTAAAAAACAAACCCAACAAAAATAGAAGCCTTATAAAAGAAAAACAATCCCAGACAAAAGGTTACAAACAATGCATAAGATGAAGTAACACAATAAATCAATGATAATATATCTGATATGACAGGCAACAGTTTCAGACCATGGTTTCATGAAATGAAGGGTTGTATTGAAATACTGGCTTAAAGTGATTCTGCTCTATCAAGCCTGATTCTGCCAGCTCCCACAACTTCTCTACAGCTGTGAAACTTTCAAAACTGATCCTTATTAAAAAAAGTTAAAAGCAGGGTTTTCATTTTTTCTTTACAACAAAATGACAGTGGAACTGATGTACTTTTGCAGGCATTTTGATTTTTATGAGTTTTAGTGAATGGCTTGACCAAAATTTTCCTAATTACCTATGTATCTCAGTATCACCTCTGGCACTGTTTACAGAACATCTGAATTTGCTGCATTACTTGTGGGAAGACTGCATAAACCAGAGAAATATATGCAAAAGCAAAGCATGAGGTTGTTTTATTTTCCTCATAGCAAATCACTAGCCTAGTCACCAAATCTCAAGCGTCATCCATGGATAAGGTAGAACATTAACAAAAACTGAAACCTAGCCCATGGTCTGCCAAGAATTCTCTGAAAAAAACCCTATCAGCCTAATCGAGTCTAACATAAAAGATAAAAGAGATGAGCTTGTGATTCCCAGCACTATTGCTCTGTCACTGGAGTCTACACACCATCACTGGTAGCTTACGAACACAACATTCCACTAAAGTTTGACCAGAAAGAAGATTAAAGGGGGAAGCTGAGATCGTAATTTTTCTGTTATAAAAGTTTTTGCTACATATTTTTGAGATCAAGAATCATTGCCCCTGAAATTCATCTGGGATAAAACTGGGAGACTTGAGAAGTACTTCCTCTTCTTTTCCAACAGAAAAACACTGATTGGAAAACAACCCACTTTTGCTTTCTATTTCTTTATTTACACTATTAGCAGACTACAGCAACACGCTGCACACCCCCAGCATCTGTTGTACTGAGAAACTCTGGAGGAGCTCATTTCTTGGGCTCGGAATGCTGAAGAGAAAACAAAAGCTAGGGTAAACTCTCCACAAATAGTCCCTGAGACTGAAGGCAAACCAAGCATACCCATGGCCTTTGCTACCCAGCCTTCTTCCTTCCCTTCCCTTCCTCCCTAGAGGTGGCCAGCCTTCTCTGACCAGCTGACGTCCTGAATTTCGCTGAGCTGAAATATTCACGTTCAGATGCAGGGAAATGGTTATAACCAGATACGAAAGCATTCAGTTTTCCCTGTTCCTTGTCAAAAATACTTCAAGCTACAGCTGTAACAAGCTACATTAAAAGAATGTTATTTCATTGCAAAGTTTCAATACTTAATAGCGTTAATATTAGGCCCCATCTTCTCTGCTAAACTTTTCCACAGGACCGCGGCCGCCCTGTGTGTGCAGGACACACGCTGCTCAGGAAATGAATCAGGATTGTGCATCGAATTAGATTATTTATAGGTTGGTATATGTGTTTGCTCTAGAAGTTGTGCAGAGAACAAGACAGACAACTACAGGAAGAGTGCGATGGGCATGTGGTTAAGGCAGTTGAACGCCACACAGGAACACTGAGTTCTGCCTCTGCCTTCGCCATCGGCTTCTGTGAATGAGGAGCGAGTCAGACCAAGCACCTTGGCAGATGGCCACCAACCGTGTCTTCCTCATTTTCTGGGAGTCCAAACCAAAACACCTCAGGCCTTTCATGTAGAAATGCAAAGCAGCTGATTATAATGGAAGCTTTGGCTTTTGAGAAAGAAATGGAGCTGGAGGCGTAAGGTTAAACAGCAGTAGAATTCAATTAATAACATTGACTTTACTACTGACTGAATGAGTGGCTGGGTTTTCTTCTTGGTCAAACAAGACAGCAGTGCTTTTCTGCTGTTCCGCTTTTCTGTTGTTCTGGGAAAATATGCACAAATTCATCAAATACTGTAAAGCTCTTAGATATCATTGTAATAAGCCTACAAAGAAAAAAAATGAAGGTATTTCTGATTCTCTATATACAGAGAAAGTTTTGGATCTTTTAATCTGTTAATCAGCCTATATTGCTACATAAATGTATTAAAAAGTCTATACAATATAAATGCTAACATGCATAGAGATGGAGCATATCCATTTTTTCCCTTAAACTCTAATGTGATTTTGCAAAGTCCTTTCCAGCTTCTATAAAGGCTATTTAACTTTAGTATTAGGTGAAACTCCAACACAGTCATAAGGAATAGGACAGGGAACAATACTCAGTGTAAACAAAAGATATTCTCTGGTTCACAAAAATAAAAATATTCTCTCTCAGCTGTACAGTGTGTCATGTAACCACGGCCACAGAAATAGAAAAGCAACAGGAGAGCTAATAAAAGTTAGTGCCTTTTCCTACTTATTTTATTGGTCTACATCACAGTGTATCATCACACTGAAAGCTTTCAGTAATAGTAGGCTACTAGGAAAATAGCACATTGAAAAATAAAATAAGTGTACTTTGTGTCCAACAAATAAAAACCAAATCTACCAACATCTTTGAAAATGACCTGAATAGAGTTCTCACAGTCACTTTGACTTCAACATCTGAGTTAAGAGAAATCCCACGACTGAAAACACAGGTGATGATCTCCTCCATTTTAGGTAGGAAGTCATTGAAATGTAAAAATATAACACAATAATGAGTTTTTGGCACATGACACAACAGAAGTATTGTAACAATGTCTGACAACATCCCAAGCACACAGTGTCTGAATGGTACTGAAGCAGATGTGCATGAGACTCAGACAATACTGTTTTGTAGGATAATTTTCATGAATTAGAAGCAAATAGACAGGGAAATAAAATAGAAATTTAGGTTCAGGCCTACAATCAGATCTTCAGAGTAGAAACTTGCAGTCATCCAGAGTCCCATTAACTCAGTCGGGTTCCATGTCTACTGAGGTCCATTTAAACAAATCCCGTGGCAGGATTAGAGCCTAAGTATGTAAGCAGAAAAAGGATGAAATCAGGTTCCATAGTGGCCAATTCTAATTAAAGAAACAGCAAACTAGTCCCAGAAAAATAATCTGAGTGTCTAAACCATTACAAGATTTATATTTTTACCACAAAATGCTGCAGATACAGGAAAGGCTGCAGTGGTATCTCACATCTAGAGGTTTATACAGCATTAATTGATCACAAGCATACTCCCCTTCAGGCAAACACAAGTACCTGCAGTGCATTTGCTCACCTCCTGCGTGCTGCTGCTTTTACATATTTATGTATAATTTGTTTTATTATTTTAAATAAAGTGGTCTAAAATCAGTAAAGGTGATATTTTGATCTTCATCAGCTCTTACTTTCTAAAGATGTAGATTTTTTAGTCTCTAAGTAACATAGAGGCAAAACCTAAAATGACATAATCTTACCATATTTTGAAACATTGTAAAACTGACAGAAAGTAATATTCTTTCTGTAAAAACATTCACTGTTATGCCCATTTGAAGGTTGTGAGAAGTTCTAGCTTGGCAGTGTGTTAGATGAAGTCACTGTTTATGCTGATGTTTCTCCCTAACATACTAATAAAAGCTCACAGTAGCGCACACACCTAGTATCATACCCAATTGCCAGTGAGAAAATATACCATCCCAAAAAAATTTCTGCTTTGTAAGGAGGTTTGCCTACTGAAATACAGGCTTTAACACGATAGGAAAGTGTGACAGTGGCAGTGAAAACACTACAGTGGCAGCAGGTTTATGGCAGAACAAGCACACAGAGCCACAGGCTACACTGTGGAGTATCACGTCATCTGAACTTCAGCAGCAGCACTTATCCTCCACCCCAGGAAGGGATCTGTGCCTCCTGCTGCATCTTGCACCTTCCTTTTCCATCACTGCACCTTACACCTTCACTGGTACTACCTCTCTGAGGCAGCCAAACCAAAGACAGTATGAGGTTGTCCAGGAGTATGATACCGCTCTTCCTTTTACTATAGTAGAGTTATACCTTCAGAGATCAGCATGTAACCAGACAAATCAATATAAACACACTTTCTGTCAAAAAAAAAAAAAAAAAAAAAAAAAATCAGCTATCTCTGATCACTTTTACTTCTACTACTTGATGGCTTAAGATGCAGCAAGATCCTTTATATGACATAAATTAGCAAGTTTAAAAATTATTCCAAGGTAAGTGAGGACATGAACAGCTGAAATTCACTGAGATGTTGATTTGTCTGTAGCACTGATGGAGAAGTAAGGCCTCAAATTGTTATTTTTTTCCAGGTGGAAAAAAAGTACTACATATGAAGTTTTTTATTCACTATTCACTATGCACATGGACATTAAGATGCCCTTTTTGCTGAGATGTGACACTGAGTTTACTTGGACTACTTGCATATGAGGAAACTCATAGACATGCAAGACAGATGTGATTTCCAAAATCTATGGGAGAAGGTAATGATTTCGTTATCTTACTGTTGTTAGCGCAGGATAGGTATCGAAATCTTTATTTCTATTGTAATGTTGAATTCCCACTTGTATACTACATGCATGTCAGAAACTAGTACCACCATACTTCGAATATAGAGTCATATTTTGGTTATTTTATCTCAAGGAGTTACAGACTAAAACCTGGCTGCCGCTCAGTAAGCGCACCGGGGAGGGGGCAGAAAGCACACCCCAGCAGGGCTCTGCCTCTCTGCCTGCAGGCAGAGGTCCCGGCCGCAGGGCTGAGCGAGCCAGCAGCGAGCAGAGGGTCACCAGACCTGTGAGCATCCAGCTGCCAGCACCCCACACTTTTTGCCCACAAATATCTGGCATGCCATGAAGTGCGTTTGCTCATGAATTTACAAATTCACAAAGTTTTAGCAATCAAAAGGTCATTTACTGCCTTACCTGGACATCACTGGTCTTTCTCTGAGTAATCTGAAACTACTGAAGGTCTATTAATAGCAAATTCCTTTCCAAAGAGTTACATTTCTGAGGAGAGGCAATTTTTAAATTTCTCTCCCCCAAGGATACTACATACTTTAATATTTTAATCTGGACACCTAACTGCTAGACACCTAAGACAATATTTCTTCTTTCTCCTGCAAAAATGCATTAACAGTTTATATTTCCACACTTGGTAGAAATGTATCTACTGTCAAAATAACAAGGAAAAAATATAAAGCTGTTTGTTTTGTTTTTTTTTTCTTTGGGTTATGCCTCCCCAGTACTAAAGTTGCCTCACCAGTTTAAGTGAGAAAAGCCTAGAAACAATTCTAATTCACACCTGTTTGCTACCATGCCCATACAATATGCTAGTGGAAAATTAGCCAAGAACAGATGTTATTTCCTCTGCTCTTTCTCCAGTCCCCCTTCTCAAGCTGTGAGTTCTGGGACATGCTGAAGGGGAAAAGAAAGGATGACTGTGGCTGGTACAGGACCTGGCTATGAAAGCCTTGAACAAACTGAAAGCTTCCTCCTGCTAGGGAGAATTCTTACATCATCAGGCAGGATCATAATAAGGAACTGAATCAATTAATTACATTACTGAAGTACTATGGAGTCTAGTTATTATAAGACTTAATAACTTAATTGTAAAGAAATTACTGTACCTGGTGTTCATTGTTACTATAAACCAATTAAAAGATTGGTGCCTTCCCAGAAACGCAAACCACACCTTTTCAAGCTAACTATTCCCCTGCGACATTACAATTAATGTCCAGTCCTTGGTGGCAGGTGGGGAAATATTCTAAACAATATTACATAGGAAGCCATCATAGGAGCAAAAAACCATCAAATAAACAATACAATTATATTTGATGACAGATCTCTAGGGTTTTCATATTAATAACTTAACTGCTGGAGACACATGCAAAGCTGCCCAGCTACACCATCATCTGTCTACTGCTCAGACACGTATCTCTAGCATCACCTTAGATACCAAATTTACTCCATATCCTAAGAGTCATATTAATAATTTGCAGAAACTTTCAGTGCATCATTTCCAAGATAGTATTTTTCTTAATTCTTCCAATCAGCTGAAGCATTCAATCAGGTTATCAATCATCATCATCATCATCATCACATTTTGATTCAGCAACATTTTTCTCTGCTTTTGAGAAATCCAGCCTAATCTCACCCGCATTCATTCAGAAAACGGCTGCAAAGACCCTTTTCCTAGTCGATCACTTGGAGAACATACCACTGTCTCCAAAGCTCTCCCTGACTTCTCCTGTAATATCTGTTACTTGTCTGCACTTTCAAGGCCCTCCCTCGCTTATCACCACCACACCTATTGTTGTTCCTTAATCACCTTCAGAAAGCCAGCTCTGGTTTGTTCAAGTTTGAAGCCAGGCCAATTTTCATGAAACATAAAGCTGAAAAGACCGTTAGATCATACTGTCCAATTTGTTTATTATTTTGTGTTTGACTAAAACACTTTCAAAAACCCCCACCTTTTACTGAAAAAATAAAAATGCAGAGATTATTTTTGTGTCTCTTTGCTTCCTATCTCCCACCTGTCAGTCAGTGTCAGTCCAGCTTCCAGCTCCTCTCTCACCCATGTTATATTTACAAACAAACCTCTTACACCTTTTCCTGTTTTACACCTTACACTTTGGGGAAACTCCCTTAAAGATCTGAAAACATACTTCATCGCTGTTCTTCAAAGTTTTCTCTGAAATTCAGCTTACTAAGATGACCCTACAGCCCTTATGTGCAAAATGTGCAATAAGAAGGTATATACACACCACCTATTTTTAAGTGCCTGAAGTAGGCAAGTGTGGGATGTAGGAAATGGATCCTCCTATACAGTAAATGGAGAGAGGCTCCTGTTGAGAGTGATTTTGATGAAGGAACTCCTATAATATTCCAAACTGTCCTCTGAACTAGTCTTCGGATAAGCTGTGGAAATGGCCTAGGGAGATCAGTCTTTTGATTTAGGTACAGGAGTGGGATGCCTGAAGTATAAATGTTCCTCCTCAACTCCTAGTATTTCCCTTTTCATCTGTGTTTATTTTCTCTTTTCCATTGTATTATATTTACATTGCAAACATTAGGATTGCAGACAATCTTTTCAGCCCATGTTTGTGTGGTACCTTAGCATCACAGGAACTTCAGTGCCCAACACTATTTTACAGCAATACAAAACCAGTTCTAAAATGCTATACAGTATTTTATTAAACAGCACCTGATCGTGTAATTATCATAGAATTATGCACACGTCAGGTAGAAGATGCACAGCTATGCATCAACTTTATTATTTTCTAAATTCCTTAATCCTGCAATGAATGTGTTCATGGCACATGGGCTTTTCTCCCCAGTCTGAATGACAGGCAAATCCTCAAAGCAATTGAACACAGTGAAATAGAAGGGAGAATAAGAGTGATGGGACGGTACATGTGGATCCAGGATGCGTACAGAATTTTTGGCAAAGGAAGCAGGGTGGGGGGAACAAACCATGGAAACCCTTGTCATGTGTGTGATATGTCATAAGCTATTTTCTGTAACAGCTGATGAGAAAATGGTAAAATGTAGGACTGGTAAGGTAAAAGTAAGAAATACAAGGAGCCCCTTCATATATGAAAAGAGTTCATGCCCCACAGTGGACACTTCTCCCTGCTACACTTAATGGACTTTAAATATACCCTATTAAAAAGGAGATTTCAGTGACATGAAGAAGGTCCCTTGAGCCCAAAGTAGGGAAGCAACCCCCCTAGATATATCTTACAAGCTAAGAAAATCTCTGAGTCTCCAAAAACACGCTTATTGCTGGGAAAAAATATTAAACATTATGAAGAAACAATAAGCTTCAAGAAGTTACTTGAATCCAAAAGGAGTCTCACACAAATTTGGAAATCTAATCCTAGTACAAACAAAAAGCAAAAGTCACACCAATCAGCAAGTACAAAAGAAACAGAACAACTGCTACTGCTGATGTTCTTGCTTCGGATCTATTTATCCAGATAACAGAAGTTCTTTCAAAGCACGAAGTAAGAGAAGAATTTCTCTTG